GAGGTCCTTGTTCCCATGCGGTTCACTGATCCACCTCAAACAGACAAGCAGGGATCGACATTCAAAGGAAGCCCAGATATTGCATTGTTGCATGCAAGCTATATGCATCTGAAAGCACTGCTTTGCTTCGCTCCAACGTAGACCTTATAGATTCGCATTTCTGGGTCGTCCGGAGCCTGTGGATGGGCTCGGCCCTTCTGTTCTTAGTTTTGCAGTCGAAATTGGGCACAAATACCATCTTGACTCATCCGGTCACCTGATAACTTTTGTCTGAGGCTCTTTGGAGAATGTTGTTCTCCAAGAACCGCTTGCCCTCCACAGTGTCGTATCGCTTCCGAAGCGTGTCCAATGCAACTTCTTCGTACTGCTCCTTGTTGGAGGTCTCTGCAGTCCTCGGGAAGTGTCTGCCTATATATCATAGACCAGGATTACTGTAGCCCGTAGCCAAGCAGCTCTTCGTAGAATGCATCCACGGTAATCGTGCTGAGATCTCGGTCCAAGAGGAAGGCCTTCAAGTAGGCAAACCTCGGCCGATGGTTTAGAGTTATAGGGCTTATGTAAGTTTTAGGGTTTAAACATGTGGACAGTCTGAGGATATGGCTTCTCTGCACTGCTGCCTGCAGCTTGCCATTGGGCGACGAGGCCCGGCTTGAGGCCTGATAGGCGAAAGGCGAGAATTTCTGGATTGAGGGCATAGTACTTGGAGGATCATGGGACTTAGTAAGTAAGGTTATAACTACCCTAAGTGGGGTTATAAGTAGTTATAAGTATAGTTACCTTAATTATAACCCTAGTTACTAAGTCCCATGATCCTCTAAGTATAATCTGCCTCGCGATGAGTTCATCCGGCGACGTAGCTTTTCGTTGAGCTTCTTGCGTTCTTTCAAGGGAATTTGGCCGGGTCCCTCGAGAGCCTGCAGCCGAACATAGAGAACAACAGAGAGAGAGAGAGAGAGAGAGAGAGAGAGAGAGAGAGAGAGAGAGAGAGAGAGAGAGAGAGAGAGAGAGAGAGAGAGAGAGAGAGAGAGAATAAGAACGAGAGGTCAGAGAAAGCTACGGAGAGAGAGAACGGCTTAGGGTTCCGGGTTTACGTTTAGGATATAGGGTGTCGGGAACTACAAGCCTAAAGGGAGTAGATAGGGCATGTAGGTTTGGGGTTTAGGAATTAAATGTGTAGTAGATTGTGGTTGAATAGTTTTGGGTGTATGCCTCCCCCAGCCCCATATATTCCCGAAATGACACCGTTGGGGGCCCGACTTCAAGTGTTGCTTTCTCTTTTTCGCTGAGCTGGCGGGGTTTCTCCTGGACGGTTGCACCGAATCATGAGCTCTATGATATTCATACCATCATATGGGGTCCTCATCCATCCATGGGCACACCAGCGGTTCGGGAACTCGCTCGGTCTCCGGACCACTCGCCTTGAGGACACTCGGGGGCCTCCAGTTCAAGATACAAAACGACCCACGTGACCAATCGAGTTCATAGCACACGTGAATGTTAATGACAAGCAGCACCGGGCTGTCTGAAGGCGACGATGACAGTGACGAAAGAGCTCTAGATCCTGGTTGGGATGGGATCGTCTATATTATAGTATTGAACCCCCGAAGCATCAGTTCATCCATGCACATAACGAAATCTAGTCCTGACGGGGTGATCGTCGTGACGTCACTCTTGAAGGACACTTGGGACACTTGTCTTTTCACGGCATTCCACCGATCGTTCTTGCAATCCTCCAGCTGCCGCTTTTTGCTTGGACCCGTGTCTTCGTCCTGCTCTGAACCCTAAACCCTAAACCTACTACGATGATCTGCCTCATTACAACTATTCTTTGATGAAGTCCAAACGTATCAAAGCTGAAAACCCTACTAGAACCATTTACGATGATCTACCCTCCCTCCCCCCAAAAAAAAGAAACTCTTTAGGGGTGTACGGTTTAGGGGTTTTGGGGTTGAGGGTGTAAGATCAATGGGCTGGAGCCCCGAAGCCCGAACCCGAAGGTACATCAGAGATCCGATGATCTTGTGCCGGGTGACCCTGGGCCGCTGTGCCAAGCAAGAAACTAGGAAAGGCTTCGGGGTTTAGGGAGTTTAGGGGGTTATGGGGGGGCGTAAGGGAACCAGGTCTATAATCGTATAGAGGTGGGTTGCGGATTTAGATTTTAGAGTTTGGTGTTCAGGGGTAGAATAAAGAGGCCTTGCTAATTAGAATAGGGTTTGGGGGGCATAATACAAGTATATAATATCTCCGCAATATAATATCCGTGATTCATATTGAGGCTTCTACATTATGCCCTCGGTGCTGTCGTCCTCGGCGGTCTCCGTCTCCGTGGCTTCGGCTTTGCCCTTCTTTGCCTTTTCCTTCGGCGTGCTCTCGTCCTCGGCGGTCTCCGT